AGGGGACACCACAGGAGTAGCAAAAGATTTTCAAAGGAGATTAAAGAGAAGGAAAACAGGGAAATACTAAAGCTAAAAGGAAACAAGGTGACAGATGAAAGGACAGATCAGGTGATGGTTGGAGGGAGTGGAAGGAAGCCCTCAGCTCAGGGGCAAAGTCAAAATGCTGGAGAGAGATAATTCCTTTTTGACATCACACAAACTCCCAGGGTTTACCCAAGTCAGGCTTGCAAAGATCTGTGTTAAATTAGGGAGCATTGTCCAAATATTCCCATCAGCATCCTGACAGAAAGGGCACATTTTTTTGAAGCTCACAGATGGGGAGTCAGGAGCTTCTCATCTGTGAATATTTACAGGCACTAATTCACCAGGAATCACCCTCTTCCTACTCTGAGTGCTCTGCAACCTCTAAGAAAGGTCAGCTGAGGGAAATGAAGGTGGTATAAATTCAGGGAGAAACAAAGGAGGATAAATCCAAGCACGGGAAGGTGGCAGAGCCGTGGAGCAGAAGCTCCCGTGGTCACTTGGAGCATCCATAAATCTCCCTTCCCAATTCCAAGAACACAAACAGTAGCTCTGGGAAGATGGGAAGACACCTCTGCTGTCAGCACAAATCACCCCACTCCACTTTAACAGCAGGAAAAGGCAGTTTTGTTTTCCAGTGAGGGCTGGGTTTTGACAGGCGGAGAGGTGGGAAGGAAGGAATGTGGGATGTGCTCCTCTCATCCTCCCAGGGAACTGCAACTCACTGGGAAAACAGAGGGTCTCAGAGGTGCCAGGGATGAGCTGAAACGTGTCCTTGCACAGGCATCAGGATCTCTTGTCCATGATGGAAAGATGTCCTTTAAAGCCACCCACACAGGCAGCTCATCCAAACTGAGCTCATCTTCTATTTGGGACAGTCTGGGAAACCAGTCACAGAATCCTGGAATAGTTTGGGTTGGAAGGGACCTTTAAGATCATCCAGTCCCACCCCCTGCCATGGGCAGGGACACCTTCAACTAGAACAGGTTGCTCCAAGTCCTGTCCAACTTGGCCTTGGACACTTCCAGGGGTCCAGGGACAGCCCCAGCTTCTCTGGGAAATCTATTCCAGTTCCTCATCACACTCACAGGAAAGGATTTCTTTCCAATATCCCATCTAAATCTTCACTTTTCCAGTGAGAAGCCATTCCCTGTGTGCTGTCCCTCCATGCCTTGTCCCCAGTCCCTCTCCAGCTCTCCTGGAGCCCCTTTAGGCCCTGCCAGGGGCTCTCAGCTCTCCCTGGAGCCTTCTCTTCTCCAGGGGAACCCCCCCAGCTCTCCCAGCCTGGCTCCAGAGCAGAGGGGCTCCAGCCCTGGCAGTATCTCTGGGGCCTCCTCTGGACTCTCTCCAGCAGCTCCACGTCCTTGTGCTGTTGTTCCCAGGGCTGGAGCAGCTCTGCAGGGGGGTCTCACCTTAGACAGGGACAGAGGGAAAAATCCCCTCCCTTTCCCATCAGTTCTTGCACCTCTGGTGCCAAAGCTCAGCCTGATGCCAGCAATCCAAGCAACCCTTCCCTTTCCATGCTGATGGGACAGCAAATGAGTTATAAATCAGGAAATATTTTACAAACCCACAAATCTGGAGAATTAATTCACTGGTGTCTTCTTCTAAGCCTAAACCCCCACCTTTTTCACCCTATTATTGCTGATTGTGAATATAAACCCATTTTCCTGTCATGGGTTTCATATCTGCTTCTAATATGCTGAAAAATATCTTCACCACCTACAAATTCTTCTTAATACACAAATAAGTCCTTCTATTAATTTGCCTCACCCTTCTCTTAATCAGATTATTCCTCTGGCATCACAAGAGACTTAAACAAAAGTCTGATAAACTCCAGGATCAAAACCCTGTAGCCCCTTTCCCACATCACAGCACTTACTGGAAGTGCTCCAAACAGCTCTGAAATAGTATTTTAATATGATAAAATTAATAAACTAAGTAATGTTTGAGGATCTGGGGGGAGGAAGAGGATGGAGGAAAAAGCATGAAGTTAAATATGGTACAACAAAGATGCTGAGATTCAAAGCTGGTATAATAAAGATGCTGAGATTCACACCTGTGCTTTCAGATAAAATACTAAAAAATAAACAAGAAAGAAACCTGAGAAAAAACCAAATTGAAACATATTTTCTGAATGCACCAGTTCACTCATCCTGACATTAAAAACTTGAGGAATTGCAGCCCAAAAAAGAGAAATAAAATGATTCCTGGTGTCAGCAAAGACACCAGACATTTTTTACTGCTGAAAAGGAAGAAAAAGGCTTAGTCTGGGTTGAATGTCCTGGGACTGACAGTGATGGAGTGGAAGATTCCAGCTCCGGAATCCGTCTCCATTCCGGCACCTCAGGATGGGGGAGCAGGTCACCTGTCCCAGGTTGGAGACACCTCAGTGTCTGAGTGCTCCTGGTCTTGCCTCCAAAAACAACTGGAATTTAGGGAATTGTGCTTTTAAACCAGAAATTAAATGCCATCTGTTTTTCCTTGCAGTGGGAACTCTCAGGGAAGAGTTGCTGCTGAGTGATCCCCGTTTCCCGATGGGGCGGAAAACTGCCGGGATCTGTGCACGTGTCTGCAGCCCAAACAGAAGGAATTATTAATGACAAATGGGCCCTATTATTTCCTGCTACATCTCCTGTCCCTCTGTGGGCACTGATTGGAATTCAGCTGCTCCCAAAGAGCTGATGGGACCCAAATTAGACAGGAAGAATTTGGGGTTGCTGAAAGAAAAATAAAGCCTCGCCTGCGTTCTGACACGAGATATAACTGCAGGATTGGGATGTGACTCATTAACCAGGGATCTTTCTCCCAGGTTGTTCGGCTGAGGGCTGGAAAACTGGAAATGGACATTAAAAAATAAAAATATGCTCGTTAGAAACACCACAAATCTTACTGGGGCATGTTTCTGAGCACTGAATTTCAATCTCGGTGTTGGTGGGTGCAGCCGAAGGGAAACACGGTCAGGAAAATGTTTGATAAAGGGTGGAAGAAGGGATTTGGAGAGTGGGAAGGGCCAGGTGATGATGGAACCAACACAGAGGATGGTACTGAGTCATTCCTCATCCCTGGAAGTGTCCAAGGCCAGGCTGGACAGGGATTGGAGCAACCTGGGCTAGTGGAAGGTGTCCCTGGTAGGCGGTTGGAATGAGATGAGCTTTGAGGCCCCTTCCAACCCAAACCATTCCTTCATTCTATGATAAACAAATTACATCCCAATCTCCACCTCAACCAAGACAAAAAGGTGGATTTTTTGGGGAAAAAAAAAAAGGCCCCAAAATACATTAGCAAGGATTTCCTGAACTTCTTATCAGCTCCATCAAGCTCTGTGTTTTCACCAGCCACGGTCACCAATCCATCCCAACACTGATCCCATTAATAAATCCATCCCTCTCACAAAGAGGATCCTGTGCACAAGTGTGTTCACTCTGCTTTAACTTAATTCTAAAAATAGGAGGAAGAAAAGTATTTTGTCTGCTTTGAGCTCTATGTTTTTAACCCTTTTACTGAGCAGGACAAGCAGCAACTTCAAGGCAACCTCAGGATTTCGGTCCTAATTCAGGTGGGCACCAGATGACCCAAAATGAGCAGGTTTGAGAGCAAAACCACCACAATGCTCCACACACACCTCTGAGTAGATGTTGTCATTTTGTCCCAAGGACTCTTTTTTCTATAACACTGAGTTTGCAAAAAGGCTTCACTGTGAGGAAAAAAAAAAATCCCTGTAGCAGGAAAAGAAGACGATTGGCTGAGGTCGGGAGAGAAACAGAACTTCTGGGGAGCAGGTTGCTCCAAGCTCTGTCCAACCTGGCCTTGGACACTTCCAGGGATCCAGGGACAGCCACAGCTTCTCTGCTCAACCTGGGACAGGGCCTCACCAACCTCAGAGCCAAGGGTTTCTTCTTCCCAATATCCCATCTATCCCTGCCCTCTGGCAGTGGGAAGCCATTCCCTGTGTCCTGTCCCTCCATCCCCTGTCCCCAGTCCCTCTCCAGCTCTCCTGGAGCCCCTTTAGGCCCTGCAAGGGGCTCTCAGCTCTCCCTGGAGCCTTCTCTTCTCCAGGGGAACCCCCTCAGTTCTCCCAGCCCTGGCTCCAGAGCTTCTCTGAAAGAGTCCTAAATAAACTCCTGCACTCAAATGTCTCCTATTTTTTAAACCACTCCACCTCAAAAAGCAGGGATGCTCTGCAGAGCACCAACACAACAATAAAGACGAAAAGAAAGACCAAAACTTCGATCTCTCAGAATTTGCTGAGCTTCCTCTGCCCTGAGGACGGTGTGGTCAACAGGTCCAAGGAAGTGATTCTGCCCCTGGACTCAGCACTGGTGAGGCCACCCCTGGAGTGCTGTGTCCAGTTCTGGGCTCTCAGCTCAGGAAGGACATCGAGGTCCTGAAGCAGGTCCAGAGAAGAGCAACGAGGCTGGGGAAGGGACTGGAGCACAATTCCCATGAGGAGAGGCTGAGGGAGCTGGGGCTGTTCAGCCTGGAGAAGAGGAGGCTCAGGGGAGACCTCCTCATTCTCTGCAACTCCCTGACAGGAGGGAGGAGCCAGCTGGGGGTTGGTCTCTTTTCCCAGGCAACCATCAGCAAGACAAGAGGGCTCGGGCTTCAGCTGTGCCAGGGGAGGTTTAGGTTGGAGATTAGAAAGAATTTCTTTGCAGAGAGGGTGCTCAGCCATTGGAATGGGCTGCCCAGGGAAGTGGGGGATTCTCCCTCCAGGTGTTTAAGGTGAGACTGGATGTGGCATCAGTGCCATGGTCTGGGAACCACAGCGGGGTTGGATCAAGGGTTGGACTTGATGATCTCAGGGGTCTCTTCCAACCCAGCTGATTTTATGATTCTATGACACTTCCCCGAGCAACCCCGAGCTCCACGGGGCGTTCGCTGTTCCCTCTCTGCATACCTGGAAATCCCAAAGCACGAAGGAAAAGGGGCAAGGGAAGAGAAGACAAGGGGGAAGGGGGTGACTGGGCACTCACGTTCACACTCCTCCACGTCCAGGTTGAACTGCTGCAGGGCCCCCAGTGTGAGCTGCCTCACCTCGGCCTCCAGCAGCAGCTGCAGCAGCGATGTCGAGAGGTGTTTGCAGGCAGACATGCAGGCAGTCTGGGCCACCTTCCCCTGCAGGAAAAAGGGACACCTGGTGAGGCCAAAAACCAAAGGAAGAATTCCCTGCACTGTTGGGTGAAGTCGGGTGGAGAGCAGGTGCATAAAGGACATTTAGCACAAGCACACAGAAGAGCTGTTACAATCTTATAATAATGGCTAATTACCATATCTAACCATCACATCGTGGCCCAAAAACTCATCATCCCCCAGACTGCCCCCAGGTTCTCCTTTCAGACACCAGATCAGTGATTCTTGGGTCAGAACCACGTTGTGGGGAGAGTGTGTGTGTGTGCAGGGGGAAGGGATAGGTGGAACCTCACAGAGGTGGGGTGGGGTCGTTCACTCATGACAGCCTCTGGAATACACATGGAGAAGTCCTGGAGTAGCTTCCAGTCACAAACAGCCCGGGAGAACTATAACACAAACAGTTCCTGCAGCCCCTGACCCAGCTCAGACTGGGACAGTGAGGACACTGTCCTATAACACCCCACAGCTCACAGGGACAGTGAGGACACTGTCCTATAACACCCCACAGCTCCTGCAGCCCCTCTTCTTCTGGCTCCAAACCTGGTTTGGGTTGGAAGGGATTTTAAAGGCCATTCATTTCCACCCCACTGCCATGGGAAGGGACACCTTCCACTAGCCCAGGTTGCTCCAAGCCCTGTCCAACCCACCCCTGGACACTTCCAGGGATGGAGCAGCCACAACTTCATTCTCTTTTTGGCAGGTAAGGTTTGCACAAGTCTGCACCACATATCAAACCCCTAAAAATGGGGAAATCCTTTGGCACAAGAGCAGATTTCCACACAAAGCCTCAGGAACGATCCCAATGTCTGCGTGCACAACCCCACGGCGACGTTCGTGGATCGCGGTGCTCCCCTGACAACAGCTCCAGCAGGAGATTATGTCCTCAAACACACACAAAAGCCCTTTAACACGCTTTTCTGAACCCAAGGCGTGGCTTAGGAGATCTCACCCACTTTTACAGGCGCTTCACAAGTTGTGTTTAAACTGGGATTAAAGTTTACCCCGTGTCTCCAGCTCAGCATCACCGGTTTCGTTATCGTGGCACGGAGGGATGAGCAAACCTTCGATGCGTGTGCTGGGAAGTGTGGGTTTTTTTACCACCAGCTCTGCAAAGTTCTTTTGGGTCTTCAGGCCACATTCATCTTCAGCAGGAGGGGAAAAAAAAAATGCATTTTTTATTTGAAAAAGAAAAAGAGCCAGGCCGTGAATTATTGAGCAGGGTCCTTCATCTCCGCTGCTCCCAGCCGTTCCCAGGCTCGGGAACGTTCATCACTCACCTCCAAACAAACACCTGCACTAAAATGAAGATGAAGCACAGCAACCATAAAGTTTAGCGGAGCTCTGGTTTGGTTTTTTTTTTTTTTTTTGCTTTTGCTTTTCATCATTTCTTTGTGCTTTTCTGACACATTTGGTTATTTAAAACACGGCTCGTGCCAATCCCTCATCCCCGAGCGCAGCGGGAAGCGCGACACGGCCCCAGAGTGATTTTTCTTCATTACTTCCAACAGACACTCGAGTTTTTGCTGGGGTCGAGTGGTTTTCACAGAATCACAGAATATCCTGAGCTGGGAGGATCAAATCCAACTCCTGGCCCTGCCCAGACACCCCAACAATCCCCCCTCCCATCCCCGAGAGCGTTGTCCAAACCCTCCTGGAGCTCTGGCAGCCTTGGGGCTGTGCCCACTGCCCTGGGGAGCCTGGGCAGTGCCCAACCAGCCTCTGGGGGAAGAACCTTTTCCTAAAATCCAACCTGACCCTGCCCTGGCACAGCTCCAGTCATTCCCTCGATGCTGTCCCTGCTCACACAGAGCAGACAGGGATGGAGCTGCCCCTCCTCTGCCCCTCACACAGAAGCTGCAGACTATGATGAGGTTGGTGACCAGGGACAGCACCCAGGGAATGGCTGGAGCTGTGCCAGGGGAAGTTAAATTGGATTTTAGGGAAAGGTTCTTCCCCCAGAGGGTGGTTGGGCACTGCCCAGGCTCCCCAGGGCAGTGGGCACAGCCCCAAGGCTGCCAGAGCTCCAGGAGGGTTTGGTTGATCCTCTGGGGCACAGGGTGGGACTCTTGGGGCTGGGCCTGTGCAGGGCTGAGGGTTGGACTGGGTGATCCCTGGGGGTCCCTTCCAATTCAGGATATTCTAGGAATCTGCGAGGTCTCCCCTCAGTCTCCTCTTCTCCAGGTGAACAGACCAAGTGCCTCAACTGCTCCTCGTGTGGCTTCCCCTCCACGTGCCACTGAGCAGAAGACCCAGATGGAAGCAGAGATGAGAAAGCAAAGCCCTGCAGCCACACCCTGGGACCCTCACCCACGCTGCCCATGAGGGGACAGGGCTCCTCCCCCTTCCTGGGTGAGCAGGAGAAAAATCCAACGAGTAGCTCACAGTCCACGTCAGCAGGAGTTTGCATGGAGCACTGCAATGCTTGGAGAAGCCTTGGAGGTGAATCAGAATGGTTTGAGTTGGGGGGACCTTGAAGATCATCCCATTCCACCCTCTGCCATGGGCAGGGACACCTTCCACTAGCCCAGGTTGCTCTAACCTGGCCTTGGACACGTACAGAGATCCAGGGGCAGCCACAGCTTCTCTGCCCAACCTGGGACAGGGCCTCACCACCCTCACAGCCAAGAATTCCTTCCCAATATCCCATCTATCCCTGCCCTCTGCCACTGAGAAGCCATTCCCTGCGTCCTGTCTCTCCATCCCTTGTCTCCAGTCCCTCTCCAGCTCTCCTGGAGCTTCTTTAGGCCCTGGAAGGTGCTGGAAGGTCTCCTCGGAGCCCTGTCTCCTCCAGGCATCAATCTAAAACCCTCTGCAGCTCCCTGAAGTCGACTTTAGTGGCTCCACTCAAGCAACAACCTCTCTCTGCAATTATCTCTGTCCATTCCCACTGGATGCCATCCCTTCCCTCCAGCTTGCCAACCAACCACACCAAGGACAAACCCCAGGAAGGTTTTCTGCCCCACTTCCAAAACTTGCAGAGGAACAACCTTCTTAGAAGCCAAGCAAGGGGCAGATCAGCCCATGTGGAGGCACCTAAAGGGTTTTCTATGCCTGCTTCGTGCAGGAACTCCTTGTCCAGCCAGACCTGCTGTGAATGACAAGTGACACCTCTGGGAGGGCGTGAAGAGGAGCAAATAATCAAGATGAAATGTCAAGTTAATGAGCCCAACACAGGGAAGGTGGGATGGGAGAAGTAATTTAATCATCAGGGCCTGACAGCACCAGGACTCATCGAGTCTTCACCACCCAAGTGCCTCCAAGTGGCACCTCAGCACCTTCTTTGTGACTACTTTTTACCACAACTCGTTGCAGAGATGGCAAAGGGGGTCCAGCCACCAAGGTCAGGACCAGCTTCTGGCTCAGCCTTCCCTGCTCCTTCCTTTTCCACATGGCATTTGCTCAGGCCCAAAACTTTTTGAAGGTGAAAATCTATATTTCACCTTTGAAAACCTGGAAGCTGAATCTTCTCGGGCCAACTGAGAACATGACCTTTGTTTTCTATTATTCTTAAGGTTTAAACACCTAAAAGTCTTTCTTCTTTAAAAAAAACCTCAGTGTTTCCTCTTAAAGAACACAGAGATGCCTGACAGTTTAAATCCAATATTTCTGGATGAAAGGCAAAAGTATATAAAGGTATTTTTCCCCCCCTTTTTAAGCATTAATCCATTTTTCCTTATATTTACTATCAGAGACCTTGGAGATGCCACAGGGCTTTCAATCACTGTGTTAAATGTCTGCTTAGAGAAAGGAAAGCACCACCAGGGATGACCAGCATCTCCTGCCCTGGGCACCAAGATTTAAAACCCTTCCCAGAATTTATGGTTCTCCCTCCTTATAAATAAGGCTGAACCCAATCCTTTCCTGCCTCATCCCCGTGCTCGACACAACCAGTGCCCACTTAAAGCAGCTCCTGATAAAATCAGCAGAGCCTTCTGAACATCAATTTTAGACTTTTTTTCCCCAGAAATAGAGTGGGAAATGTGCTTGATAAGCAGCTGCTGTTGACAGGAGACAAACCAGCACCCGGACACTGATATATCACCGCTAATAAGCTGCTGTCGTGAGTTGTTTGTATTCCCACCTGGAATGGCTTGAGCTGGCAGGAATCAAGCACATCCTCACATCACAACATGTTGGCTCTTTGGAACTTATTTAGGATGGATTTTCACTTCAGAGTGCTGGTTTTTTTCCCCCCCTCTGGTTCATTTTTCAGCTGGCAGAGCACGGCCTCGCCCGCCCCTCACGGGGACACGCGGAGCCGAGCGGGTGATGGACGTGCTTTCCAGCAGCCTCACCCCCCTCCCAAAATCATTAACTGCCCCACCCAGGGTGGTGGTGTCAGGATATGTGCCTTGGGACAGAGGTGGAGCAGGAGCAGGATCCCTCCAATGTCATCCCGGCTGTCGGAGCTCCTCGGAAAGCCCGGGCTCAGAGGAGCCGCCGTGCTCAGCCGGGAGGGCTCCGACCTCGTGTCAATCACCCTGATGGTTTTTTTGGGAGCTTGTGGCGGAACGGGGGCACTCCCAAAGGCTCTCCCTGTGCCAGCCCTGAGCAATCAGGGAGTTCCATCCTGATCCTGCTCCCTGATGTGGCTGCAAACCAGCTCCATCCCTGGGGCGCTGAAACAACTCAGTGGAACAGTGTGGTGCCTCCAGCCCAGGAACAACTGGTCTGTCACAGAATCCCAGAATGTGCTGAGCTGGAAGGGACCCACAGGGATCACCCAGTCCAACCCTCAGCCCTGTACAGGCCCAGCCCCAAGAGTCCCCCCCTGTGCCCCAGAGGATCAGCCAAACCCTCCTGGAGCTCTGGTAGCCTTGGGGCTGTGCCCACTACCCTGGGGAGCCTGGACAGTGCCCAACCAGCCTCTGGGGGAAGAACCTTTCCCTAAAATCCAATTTAACCTCCCCTGGTACAGCTCCAACCATTCCCTGGGTGCTGTCCTTGGTCCCCCCAGAGCAGAGCTCAGTCCTGCCCCTCCTCTG